AAACTTGGTAATCCGTATGGGTAGTCACAAGAGGATGAAATCCTGAGAGCTCAATGTAAATCCAGAGCTAATATTTTAAAGAAAAAACAGACCACTTTAAGGTTCCATTATAATAATTTATTTCACCAAGGCCCTTTTAAAGGACGTCGGATCATCATATAGCTTTAAAAATGCTCTGGTGAAATAAATTATTATAATGGAACCTAAAGTGGTATATATATATATATATATATATATATATATATATATATATATATATATATATATGAGGTGTCCCAGTAAATTGGACCGATTTTAAATGGGATTTAAGTTTAAGCGTCTAATTTTTTTTTTTTTTTCTTTCAGATTTGGTGAACATTTGGGCGGTATTATTTTCACATAATTGCCATGACTTAAATTACATGATCCAATAGAGAAATAAATTTTCACCAATAACACTGATTTTCTTTTACTACTGAATTTGATCCATCTTAATGAAACCCCTTATATAAAATCCGTCGTAATGAATCACAATATATATATATATATATATATATATACTCACACACACACACACACACACACACACACACACACACACATTAACACATATATATATATATATATATATACGTGTGTTTGTATGTGTTGTGTTGTAAAAAGACCGACTTTCTCTACACTATTTTTTGAATATGGACTCGTATATCCGCTATGAATAAAAGGTCGACTCATAGGCACCGTTGTCTCAAAATGGGTCACCAGACATAGATTGCTTCATCAAACTCCGGTATTAGTGTATTAGTAATCCATGTCTTTCATGTTATTAAATCTGTTCTCCACACGACCTTTTGTTCCAGTTGTTTCCTTACAGTATTATTAACCACTTTACCTGATTTCTACGAAATTTATAACAATATGATTTCTCTTAATTTATTTGAATGTGTAAAATTATTAACGCAGTTCTTGAAGAAATACGGCAGACCTTATGGAGCGTACGTTGTAGAAGGGTTCCATTTCTTCCTTATTCTAAGATCCGCTGAATAGTGGTTGATGAGCATTTACAATACTGAAGTAGACATATTTAATATTAAAAATATCAGTTATTTGAAAGATTGCCTTGCAGCAAGATTACCTAACTAGCAAAGGAACCCGTTTAAATGCCTTGTCTTACTGGTTTACCTTAGTTTGAAATATTGTCAATTCTGGTATTTTTTCAACTTGTATTGGTGAATTTCTCCTGGCTGTAATCACCACCATCTAATTTTACACTTTTGGAGATGCATGCCTTCATAATTCGTTCTTTGATCGATCAATTCGTTTTCTACGGATTATCAACCGTTTTTTAGGTTATGTAAAGCCAGAAAATATTTTTAGATTGTAAGATTTTCTTTTTGAGATAATCATGGTTTAGTTTAAACAAGTCTTTACTAATTAAACACTAACTGGCGCAAACGATGCAGATTCATGCCTTTTCTTCACGTAAGTGAATAATAAACAAACCAAGTGAAACTAGAACTCGGCGCTGCGACTAACAATTCCGAGCTATTATCCATTACGCCACCCTCATATCCTAGTTTACAGCAGTTGGTATTCCCAAGCGGTCACCCATCTAGGTACTGACTAAGCTCGTGGTTGCTTAACTTTGGTGAAGGTGCGTTAATCGGTGTTTTAACGGGATGTGACCGTAAGCCTTGCCTTCACGAAGGACATGCCTATTAATATTCAACATTTAGTTGAGTACCAACGTATTTTGACTTGGAAATACGAGAGTTGTGAGAGAGACATTTTCGTTCGTCTCTTAATTTTCATTCCTTTCGAAACAATATAAACTGAAGGAATGGAATTGTCTCGTCTAAAAAGTTAGTTTCATAAGGAATACCAAAAATCAATAAATTCTCTCATCGATAATTTGGACGAAGAGGTCGGTAATTTTCAAAGACTTATCTGCTTTTGATATATCGTCACATCTTGTTATCTATTATTTATTTGCTTAAATGGGCGGAACGAGGTGTCGAAATGAAAAATTGGATCGCTTTTTAGGCCACGACGGATGTCGAGTCTTAGACCTCTGTGAAAATATGCATTTATAGAAAGAGTAAGTTATGAGAATGACGATGCGTGAAAGAAGAAAGCCAAGAAGAAAGAGAAAAGTTTTCGGCAGAGTAAGACGAGAGGCGAAAAAGATTGAAGACACGTTGGTGAGAAAAGCAGAAAGAATAAGAAAAGAAGAAAACAAGGTCCAAGAATTAAGGGGAGGGAAAAGGAAATTAAGGAGAGTAATGGCTAGAAAAAATAGAAAAAATAGGAGTGGAGAAAAATAGGAACACTTAAAGAAGCAAAAAGAATAATGGGGAGAGAAGTAGTGTGAGGAAGGATATGAAAAAGAGATATAAGAAGAGTTAGAGATAGAAATGTCTGAATTTGAAAGAATACTGGAAGGAGTAAGAATTAAGATGTGTGGGAAAATTCGAAAGAGAAGTAGAGAGAGTTAACGGAGAAGAAAGAGAGGTAGAAAGCATAATGGGAGGAGAACAGTTATATAGAAAGTGTAGAAAGATAAAAGGAGGACGGATCAAAGTAGAGCGAGTAAAATGGGATAGAAGAAAAATAAGAGGGGGAGAAATCGAAGTAGAAAATTGAGGAGAGATGAAAGGAAGTAGGAAGAGCAAAAAATAAGACCAGGGAATCGAAGTAGGAGGCGAAAAGAGAAGTAGGACGAGGAAAGGTACAGGAAGTGAACCAGAAAAATGTAAGAAGAGGAGAAAAGAAGTAGGAAGAGTAGAATAATAAGGGGGGAGAAAAGGCAACAGAAGTGAAGTAGAAAATTTAGAGAGATGAAAGGAAGTAGGAAGAGCAAAAAATAAGACCAGGGAATCGAAGTAGGAGGCGAAAAGAGAAGGGACGAGTAAAAAGTACAGGAAGTGAACCAGAAAACGTAAGAAGAGGAGAAAAAAGAAGGAAGAGTAGAATAATAAGAGGGGAGAAATCAAGAAAAATTGAGGATGAGAGATGAAAAAAAATAAGACCAGGAATCATGAGGAAGAAGCATAAAATAAGACCAGGAATCAAGAGGGGGCGAAAGAGAAGTATGGACGAGTAAAAGGGAATACAGGAAGTGAAACCAGAAAACGTAAGAAGAGGACAAAGAAAAGTAGGAAGCGTAGAATAATAAGAGGGGGAGAAATCGAAGTAGAAAATTGAGGAGAGATGAAAGGAAGTAGGAAGAGCAAAAAATAAGACCAGGGAATCGAAGTAGGAGGCGAAAGAGAAGTAGGACGAGTAAAAGTACAGGAAGTGAACCAGAAAACGTAAGAAGAGGAGAAAAGAAGTAGGAAGAGTAGAATAATAAGAGGGGGAGAAATCGAAGTAGAAAATTGAGGAGAGATGAAAGGAAGTAGGAAGAGCAAAAAATAAGACCAGGGAATCGAAGTAGGAGGCGAAAGAGAAGTAGGACGAGTAAAAGTACAGGAAGTGAACCAGAAAACGTAAGAAGAGGAGAAAAGAAGTAGGAAGAGAGAATAATAAGAGGGGGGAGAAATCAAGTAGAAAATTGAGGAGAGATGAAAGGAAGTAGGAAGAGCAAAAAATAAGACCAGGGAATCGAAGTAGGAGGCGAAAGAGAAGTAGGACGAGGAAAGGTACAGGAAGTGAACCAGAAAACGTAAGAAGAGGAGAAAAGAAGTAGGAAGAGTAGAATAATAAGAGGGGGAGAAATCCAAATAGGAAGCGTAAAATTAGAGGAAGCCTAAGTCGATGTCAAAAGAGTAAAGGTGAAGAAAAGGGAGAAAGCGATGTCGAAAGAAACAAAAGAAGTTTTAGAAAAAAAAAATAAGAAAAGAAAGAACATAAATTAATGTTTGAAAGTGTGATATTTAGCCAGGTTCAATTAAGACGGTAAGATTTCAAATGTAAAGAAGAAAAGTTGGATGAGAACTTTATTACACGCCATCTCTCAAAATCCTAGTTTTATACTGATTCAACCGACTTGTGGTGTCTATGAGAAAGACAAAAGTACCTCACCCACCAAGCGATGCAAGATTAATTGATTATTATTATTTGTGCATGTTTTGTTTCCAGCTTTGTATTTTAAAGAGTCGGATCCAAACTATGATCCTTAAGCGCTATAACAGAATTGTCATTTAAATGGTAGCACATTTCTTAGTATATGGGGCGTTCATAGTAGAGCGATTTTCTGGGCAACTTGTATGTTGATGTTACCTGGGACACTGTTAGTAAAATTGTCAATTCCTTTTCTCCCGAGGCCCAGTGCTCCGATTACTATTGGTACAGTCTCAGTCTTCATTCCCCCAAGTCCTGTTAATCTCGATCTCAAGGTCTTTGTATTTGGACAATTTCTCGATAATTTTCATGGAGGTGTTTCTCTCAGATGGTACTGCTATGTCAATAAGCATACACTTCTGAATTTCTTGTCTTTTATGATAATATCGGGTCTGTTGGCTTTTATTTCTCTGTCAGATTGTATTGGATTAATATTATTATTATTATTATTATTATTATTATTATTTCACGACTTTTCATGCTCCCACCAGATATTTGATTGCTAGAGATAAAAGAAGAACTAACAGCATTTTCTCAATTTCTAGCACAATTCCCAGTATTCCTTCGTTTGTGCCTCGGGTACTTTCAGGACGCGAGCCCCTCATGGCTCTCCACATCTTCCAATCTTTCTCTCCTTACTACCCCTCAGTCTCCGTTCCATTTATAGAAGTTCGTTACTTGGGTTGAGTGCCTGTCCCCTCTGAACCCCTAGCATTGTAAGTGTCAAATTCTTCTCGGGGGGAGCGGGGACAAAAGGCGTATTCATAAATGTCCATAAATAGGGGGGGGGCAGAAAGGGCGTATTCATAATTGTCCATAGCTGGGGGGAGAAAAGGCGTATTCATAAATGTCTAAAGGGTACTTGCGCGTAAGTGAATATAATGTTCCCAACGGGAATTCGAACTTGTCTTACTTTAATAATTCCGATCCATTACCCATTACACCACCCGCACATCCAAGTTCACAGCACCTGGAATTACTAACCGGTCACCCATCTAGGTACTGACGAGGCTCGACATTGCTTAACTTCGGTGACCCCACGGGAACGGGTATTTCAACGTCGATCGATAGACTTGTACTCCATTGAACAGGCATATAATATGATGCGACTAAAACTGGCAGATTCAGTTTGGCCACTTACAACTCTTGCTTTATTTTCGTAACATTTATAAGAATCATAGAATATTTTATCAGAGAATTGTTTTTGCAATCACATTTATGTAAAAGTATATGCCTGTTTTTATACCAAAATCATTTATACACTGTATTAATATGGGGTTCAATAAATGTTGATAAAACTTTTATCTTGGAACATGTGAAAGTATTGATCTTTATATGTGATAATTTACTGTAATCCAACTCTATATCTGTAGGTTTCATCTTGAGTTAATTTAAACTTATTGAGGCCGCTGCCATTTTAATTTCCGTCAGTTTATGTGTGTGTGTGTGTGTGCGTGCGTGTGTGTGTGTGTGTGTGTGTGTGTGTAAAAGAAATAAGTGTTCTGATTGTGCCTGAAATTGTTAAAATTGCATCAAAATTTGATTCCTGGGAGACAGAAAACAAAATAAGTGACGCTAATATTGATAATTCTGCTAACAACAACGATCAGACAATAACAACAACATCACCAGTAGAGTTGGCAGTGTGTTCCAAGTTAGGTTAGTGGCGGAAGCGTAGGTTATTATAATTAGGTCATAGTCCATTAGCCAAGCATTAATGGCCCAGATTCCAGTCTGCAAAGAAAATCAATGAGTAACAAAGTAATACTTTGATGGAACCACCGCTAAACTATTGACGGCCCAAACCCGTGGATGTTTGGGACAATTCCCCGGCCGGGCGACTTAGTAATTAAAAGTGCTGACGAACGGTGTGATATTCTCAGCCCTGATTTCTTTCTGGGTTGGACTGAAAACGGGAATGGCCGGAAGTTGCACCAACGAAGCGAATCAAAAGAAACCTTCGACCCAAAAGAATGCCAGGAAGCGCTTATGAATTTCTGACGCAATTGCTTCGTTCGGAATGTAATCTATTCGTTTAAACAGTGATTGAATTCACGGCCCTTGTTCCAAAAGAGTCGTGTTTAGCACCGGGCCGCATCTTCACAGGGCCGTATCCGTTTCCTGAGACCAACTGCTAACGCCAATTTCGAAATAAC